TCTTGCCACCTGTGTCTTTTAATTATGCCAGGACTCAAACATTTAGATGATTTAGGGTAGAGTGAATTGAGTCCCAAGAACTATTTCTTAAGAAGATGAGAACAATTATGAAAGCAAAACATTACAGTCTAAGGCTTGTTGCAACACATATGCACATAACCCTGGTAAAATAACATTTATTTTCCCCTCCAATGAATGTCTATTGATTATATACTAGAAATTTGAGTTGAATATAGAATAAATACATCAGGATGCCATACTAATATATAAATATATAATCATGTATTATAGAGGAAGAACTCATGGTTTCAGTTTATTTTTACCAAGTACATTGAGCTCTTATCATATCCCAAAGTAAAGAAATAGGCTTCAAATGAAAACACGATCAACCTGCTCTCCAGGATTTTAATGCGTTGGTGGAGCATGACTGCACAGCATGATATGCCCTAATGGTATGGGGTAAAGAATATGCTGCAGGGCTATGAAGTAAGGGATCAATGGTTTTGCTGTCAAGATAAAGAGGGCCATATCAATGCAGTGAGATTTCAGGGTAGTTGTGAAGGTAGTTGGGAGAAGAGGTGGGGAAGGCCTTCATGCTTTGGAAGAGAGATGCAAAAAAGAAAGAAGACCCAGGGAATAATGAAGGGTGTTTTGGGAAGGATGAGATTCACCCAGTGTGAGTTGACCATGGGGCATTTTGTGAAGGAAGTGACCGAGAAAGAATTTAGAGAAACAGTGACAAAGATACATAAATAGCAGTTTACAACTGGAAGCTTTAACATTTGAAAGATTATCAAGGAAAACACTGGTATAGCTGGTGGGGCCACTGCCTGTGGTGCTAACATTCCTTAAGGGCACTCATTTGAGTCCCAGCTGCTGCATTTTTAATACAGCTTGCTCTGATGCTCTCGGGAAAGCAGTGGAAGATCCAAGTCCTTGGATCCCTGTACTCACTTGGGACATCTGTAAGAAATGACTGCCTCTTTTCTTTGGACTGGCCCAGCTCCAGATGGGCCATTTGGAGAGTGAGGCCCAAAAGATGGAAGATTTGTTTTTCTCTCTCTCTCTCCCCCTGCCCCTAACCACAGCCCTCTGTAACTTTGTGTTTTAAATCAATAAATAAACTTTATTGTTTCAAAAAAGGAAAGAGGATTCTATGCTATTAAAATGTTGAAGAAGAAATCATTCGTTTACTATCTAGGGAGTGCTTAGAAATACAGATACCTGGGTCCCACACAGAAACAACATAACATGAATCTTGGAGGAACCTGGCTGAGGGACGGATATGCTATAAATGTGACTTCAGATGATTAATCGTGCTGCTGGAATGCAACTGTCTGAAGACCTGTATTGTTTGAAATAGAGTAAGTTGATCCAAAAGATTATTTCTTGAGAATACAAGCACAATTCTGAAAGCAGAACATTTCCATCTGAAACTTGTAACCCAAATGCATGTAGCCATGGTTGAATTTTGTTATAATTTTCTGCTCCAGTGAACATCAATGGATTATTTACTGGATTATTTACAATTTGCTTCATATTTGTACCTGGGCAGAGAGGGGATTACAAGAGTGTAGAGTCTGACAGCCCTAGTTGGACAGCTGTCAGGGGCCCAGAAGAGGAGCAAGATGAAGCTGCACTGAAGCACTGGCAGTGTTGATGGAGGATGGGGAGAGTTAAGAGCTTCTTCTGAAATATAAGTGTTGGCAGGACGTTGGAGTTACTTTGAGTACGTCTGAAATTGCAGTTCTGGGCAATTGTATTGATGGTGGTGCAATGAACACAGTGAAAAGTGCAGGAGGAGTTGGGGGAGGAGTTTTCTAGAAACAAAAACACATTTAAAGTGGAATATCCAATCCAGTTTCTTTATTTCACTGACAAAAAAAAAAAAAACCCCCAAAAAAAACCCAAAGCTCAAAATGGTAATATGACTAATCTGAAGTCACAGAGTCAGTTAGAATTAGAGTGGTGAAAAAATGTGCCCTTTAACAGAAAACCGACCACATTTCCTGTTAGTTTCATTTCTGTCTAAAAGATTCACTGCTTGATTATGTCTACTGAGAGCATCTATATGGTACTAATTGCAAAGTGAAAATATCATTAAACACCCATTATGGCTGTGAAGCTTGTATGTATTTTTAGCTTACGACTGTTTCACCAAATGAGCCATTACAGGCTATTGAGGCTGGGTGGGGCATTGCTTGATTTAATCTAGGCATCATAGCAGGAATGGGCATAGATATCTTGTCCACCAATGCCATTTGACAGATAAGAAAACCACAATTTAGGGAGAGTTGTAATTTTGCCTAAGTCTCTTCTGGTAACTGGTGGTTAGAGTTAAGGTCTGTGTGTTTCTGATATGCTCATGTCAGTTCCTTTTTTTTTTTGTCACAAAGTTATTGAAATTGTTACTGCAGCAATTAACTTTCGTGATTTTTTTGAAACACTTTTCAAAACTGGAAGTGAATCATGAGCCACATCAACATCACTACTATGTATTTATTTAGAGTTTAAGAGAAGAGGGCCTCACATGGTACACTGGGTCATTTTCAGTGCAGGCTTCCGATATGAAAACACCCCACAAAACTATGACTATGTATAAACCATGTATAGTCCAGACCAACATTAGCTATTCAGTAAGTGTGTGTTGAGTGATTCATCTAAATCCAAGAAAGTGTGTGAATGGTAATATTTTTATTTATTTATTTTTTTAGTGATCAGTACTTACAATCTCTACTTTGCCTGTAAGTAGGCACTCAGCAGGAATCACATGGGGCTCATTCCTTTAATCACCAACAGCAGAGGGACTGTCAGCTGACCAAGGAAGCATGAAATGTGAGTGTTAGAAACACTCTGATCTGAATGTGACCCCTTGCTGGAATGCCAAACATACAAACCTTCCAAGTGGGCTGGCCCATTGACCTCAATATACAAAGGTCTTTTCTTTCTAGAAATAAACTCTCTTCTTGGCTGATCTGACATATATATGCACCCAGATTCAAACACACACACACACCTTTTCTTTTTTGTATGCTTATAGTTTGTCTTTTACAATAGTTTCCAAGTAACCCTTTATATATTTGGGATACTTACTCTTTCTCTTTGAGGGTTTCCTCACTCTATGATGAAAACCTACAGACAAACAAATTACTGAATAACCCATGACTTCACTCTTCATCTGATTAGATCCCTGAAAGAAATCATGAGACATCCTTAAAAGACCCACAGGCCTTTGGAGTTCTTAATGGTCACAGAGGGCTTTCTTCCCCCTATCTTCCTCAAATGTCATGGCCACCCTGAACAGTATCAAAGGAGGTCACTGTTTGCATCAAGAATTAAACGAGAAAAGCAAAGTTGATACTCATTCAGGAAACATGAAAGTTCATCAGTGGGTTGTATGTCATATGAAGAGTATTTTACCCATTTCTTTCATTGACTGAATGACTGTGGGAACCAAGAAAAGAATATTCCATAACCCAACCCCTGTAAAAAATGTTTTAGGATGGTCATGTGCTGGTCTTGAAAAACAATGCCCCCTTTCCTCCGCCGATCCTCACTTGAACACACAGGCTCACTCATTAAGTCTCAAGTCATTGACCTTCATCTACTTCGAGTAAATCCTGAGAGATTCTTCTCCTCTTTGATCTAATTATCAATACAGAGTGATATTCGTTTATCAGTAGTTTGTTAATTTGAAATAAAATGCACCATCAAAACTGGTGTGTAAATATTTCACTATCGTGGTATTTCCTCAGCTAATTCCTTGTTTCAATATTATATTTTTAACATAATGTTGGCTTTTTAAATGCACACATAGATTTCATTTATATAATTTTAGAAAAGTTTTTACAGAAATAAATTCACATATTGGAATAAACACCTTTGTCTGGTTACATACTTCTGGGATGTTAGATTCAGAAAATATATACAGAGATTCATTAGCTACCCTCTTCAGCAACAACTGATAGATATAAGTGGTGTGATTTTGTTTGATTACTTGGCTGAAAGAGCTATACAATTTTGTGTCATGAACTCTTATCTCGAATAATTTCAGAACCCACATCAAATTTTCTTTCATATGTTTTTAACATGTTGGTGTTGGCATTATAACATAGAGGATTAAATCCCCACCTGCAAAACTGATATCCCAAATGGGTGTTGGTTTTAGCTATGGCTCCTCCACTTCTAATACAGCGCCCTGCTAATGTGCCTGGGAAAGCAGTGGAAGACGGATTGGGCAGCTGTACCTACACAGAGATTCAGAGGAAGCTTGTCTGGCTCCTTCCTTACACTCGATTGAACCTCTTGTTGTGTTGGCCGTTTGAGGAAAAGTGAAAAAGCAAATGGAAGATTTCTCTTTCTTTCTCTCTTTCTCATGCACTTACACTCCTCCCCCAACTCTGCCTTTCAAATAAATAAATACATCTTACACAGGAATTTCTCCACAAATATTTGTTGAACAAATTCATTTCCTTCTGTACTCAAATATTATTCACTACTTATGCATTTAGTACACAGTTTATTTTTAATAATTCTTCTCACTCTTTAAACTTATTTTTAATTTTACTCTTATATTCTTGACAAATAGAGAACAGAGAATGAGAGAGAAAGAGTCCTTTCATCTTCTGGTTCACTCCCCAAGAGCCTGAAACAGCTAGAGCTGTAGTAAGCAAAAGTCAGGAACCCATAGTTCCAATAAACTCTCCCACATAGATGGCAGGGCCCAAGTGCTTATGCAGTCATCAGCCGTCTCCCAGAATGCAATAGCAGGAAGCTGGGTTGCAACCAGAGGTGCCAGGATTCAAAGCATCACTCCAAAATGGGCTGCAACAGATTAATGTACAGTGCTTTAATGCTTACTCCCTACCTGCTTAAAGACTACCAATGAAATATTTTACTGAATTACCTGCTCGTATTAGAGACCTTATGAGGTTCTAATGTATAATTCAGGGCACAGTTTTAATGAGTTTTTTAAGATTTTTATTTCTTTTTGTTGACAGGTCAAGAAAGATTTGGAAACATGACCAGGGTCTACTACCGAGAAGCTATGGGTGCATTTATTGTTTTTGATGTCACCAGACCAGCCACATTTGAAGCAGTGGCAAAGTGGAAAAATGATTTGGACTCAAAGTTAACTCTCCCTAATGGAAAACCGGTTTCAGTGGTTTTGTTGGCCAACAAATGTGATCAGGGGAAGGATATGCTTACGAACAATGGCCTCAAGATGGACCAGTTCTGCAAGGAGCATGGTTTCGTAGGATGGTTTGAAACATCTGCAAAGGTAATGAGACATTCAAGGCTAAGCTTATTATAGGCACTATTCACAAAGAAAATGGTAGCTAATCATTGTAATCATCATCATAGTAATAATATGTGTTTGCCTAATGATTAATAGTTTCTGAATTGCTGTAGGCCTTTTCTCATCTCAAGGCAATGAGTGTGCAGAACAGGCGTTATTGTCCAAAATTTCAGGTGATTGTTGCTAAGAGAGGAAAGCAACTTACATTTGGGCATGGTTAATAACTGTGTTCACTTTTTATGTGCTTCTTCATTTAGTCCTCACAACAAACTTGAAAAATATGATTTTATAGCATGTGAAAAAAACAAGTCTCACATTCAGTGCTATTGCCTCATTCATGAATGTATACTATTATCATTTATTGTGGTGACCTGTTCATCACGTATTGTGCTTTACCCTAGAAAATAAAATATGGTCAGAACATATAACTTCCTTATTTTGAAAAATGTAATAGTGAGATGAGAGAGTAATACAAATGTGCAACGGCAGAGTGATGCCGGAGGTGGGAGACAGAGGCAAGACTGGAAGGTGAAAAAGCCCACGTGGCTTGATGAAGGACTCACAGTTACCATTTGCCTGATTTGCTAAGTGTTTGGCTTTTTGTTCTACTATTTTTTATTTGTTTGTGTTTTTTGTAGCTTGGTATCAGCAGGGCAAAACTCCTCATGGTATTTTGAAAATTAAAAAATTTATAAAAACTTTCACTGTATTTTTAAGATATTTACAAATAGGTTTATATTATTATAATTATAATCTGTTTATAGCTTTGTGCAATCATTTTTCTACATTTATTTTCTTGTGTACCACAAATATTAAGTGTGCCAAAATGTTAAATAATAACTTGCAGTCCACAGGAACTATGCTATTTGGAAGAGTCAGCTGTAAATAAGATATGTGCTCTCTCTATATCCTTGGCATTCATGTTTAAGCCTTATTCACATTTAATGCCGTGTTTGTTATTAGAGCTTGGTTTGCAATTGTAACTTGAGTTAACATCATTTGAAGAGGTTACAAAGTAGCCACTAACAGGCTTTACAGGGGAAAGTGGAATGCTCCAATTTACCCTGGAGATAATGGGAAGATAGGTCAGATGGGATAGCCTTATTCACCATGCACGAATATGGGTAAGTGATGAGCCTTGTTTGAGTAGTGGTCAGAGGATTGAGAAAGAAAACCCATATTTAAGCACCACTAAAGTGCGACATCCCAAAGAGTTAAACACTATCTTGTGCTGGGAGATGAAGAAAGAAGAGAGGGTGACAGTGCTATGTGTCCTGTTACAGTTGGGATGTTCTGTTGTTGCTTTTATAGAAATCTGAATGCCTCTCTGTGCTGCCATTGTCTGACCTGCATTTGGAAAGTTGTTTCCTCCGATTCTGTTACCCTTGTCTTCCTTCTAAAGCTCCAGTGTGCGTGTGTGCTCTTCTCAGGAGAGAAAGTTGGCTTTGGAAAACTTGACTCAGTTGATTGCTTTACGTCCTAAGGACAAGGTTGAATACATGCAGAGGAAACTCTTTGATTATTCATTCATCCAACAAATATTCCTGACTACCTGTTATGTGCTGGGCAAGTTATCTAGGCATTGGGGATGCAGTGACTTCCAGATCAGAATCCTGCTTTGTGAATAAGTAATATACTTAAGATCCTGACTAAGAGCTAATCAGGATCCTAATAAGAAACTAGGTGGAAGAAATGAAGTGGTCTGTGAACTGAAATTGCTGTAGGTCAAAGGATCTTACAAGACTGCTCCCCCCTATCCCCCTACATTACTCTGAAATTCCATCTTCAACCACTGAAGAGTCAAACTCTTTCTACTTAGGGACATGATTTTCATTAACTTAAGGGCTGGATGACACCCCCTGACCCTACGCCTTACTATCCATAGATGTTAGCTTTCTAATCCTCCAAATCCCCAAAAGTCTTGACTTTGAAGAAAAGCTTTATACAGTGTGGGAGAGGCCGAATGGAATTTCACATGCTGATGTAACTAATTCAGGGCAAGCCCTCATTATTAAAGGTAGAGCCTCATTCAACATCCTCACTCCCTCCAAGCACAGTACTATTTAGGATATCATTCTGATTGTTTTGAAGGAAAGGGGTTTCCAGATTCAGGTGAGTATTCAAGTCAATAACCAAAAGCTCAGAAACTACAATGCAGCATTGATAAATCGGGCTGTCTAACCGTTCTAAAGTCTCTGTAAGGATCTTGGTAAAGCTCTACTAACCCTGAGTGTAGTAAACAGCATTTACAAAAACTAAGACCTAGATCAAACTGTTTTCCTGCAGCTCAGATGGCAACGTTTGGGGATAATTCATTCATTCTAGGTCACATTTGGGATTAGCGTAATTTCCCATTGTGGTCTGTCTCTTATAAACCAAATCTGTTAACATAGAGTCCTCTTGAGTGATGTCATAATCTGTTGAAGGACATCTGTTCTATTCTCTTTTTTATATCTCCAGAGCTCATGGGTCAAAGCCTACAGTCTCTAACATTGTCTTTACCAGCACATCCAGTGTAATCCTTCAGTATCATCATCAGTTAAGCTGGAACTACAAGAATGTTAGAGGAGGTTGTCTTTGCAATCTACCTATATCTTGCTGTCAGGGCTGCTGCTGAGCATCTTGTCTCTCAAGCTCTTTGATCTTCTATAACTTTTGTATGAGAGTTTCCATGTCTGTTGATGTTGTTGAAACAATCGGTGTAACACTTGCATGGCGAGTGAAAAGAAAAATTAAATGAATTCCAGTGAATCTGATTTTTCAGATTATCTCTTTCAGTACCAAAGGAACCAAAGGAAAGAAAAAAACAGTCTCTAAATCAAACTTTCAACCTTTCAACCTTTCAACTAGAGTTGTCATAAGTCTGCTGTATGTCAGGAGCTAAATCTGTTTTATGTTATAGATACTGGCTACTTTCTTTTTTATAAAAATATTTATAAATAGCAAAATCTGCTTTTTAATGATATATTGCTTTTTTAGAAAGAGAGACCAAAAAAGAAAGATAGTGAAAGAGAGAGAGAGAGATTAATTTCTGTCTGCTGATTCTCTTCCCACAACAGCCAGGGGTCAAGAGCACAATCCAGATCTCTCGGTTTTGCACTCTAATGCAATGGTCTGTTTCTATCTCTCATTCCATTTAAGTCTACTTCCTTTTGCTGTTAAATGATCATTTGATACATGTTTACAATGTGTGGAAATCATTAGATCATGGTTAGTTAGCATTTCTATATTCTCACATACTGTTTATGTCTCAGCATGCAGAACCTTTGAACTCCTATTTATCTAGTTATTTTGAAGTCCATCTTACATTGCTGGGTTATGAACTTTTTCTTTGATTATAACATACACTTGTTATTCCTTCATACATCAATATTTCAAATTGAAGAGCCCAACAGTCAGTTTGGATTTCTAAAATGATTATATGTCCAATCCTTTAAAGAAAATTTCCTCCAGTAGAAACTACAGCATGCAGTAGTTCCTAAATGGTTTTGGCCATGTCAGATACAAGCAGAATAGTGGAAAAAGTGCTCAGGAAATGCTTCCTTGAAATTCTTTGCCAAGGGAAAATTATCTGTGTCTCATTGAGTTTATTGAGCTCTTTTATTATTGCTACCTTTAAATTGTTCTGCAAGCTGATTTTTATGACAGGTAAGAAGTAGCTATTTTTAGAGGAGCTGTTTTAAGGGTAGATTCACACATCACTTATTTTTATAGGCTTCCAGAAAATACATAGTGAGAAAACATAATGAGGTTATACAAAAAGGAAATGCATGGATAACTGTACTTGAGTGTATGTATATAGCTATTCTAATTTGTTTTTAATGAATTTTTAAAATTCAATGCTTGGTTCATCTCTAATCTTTCTGATTTTTCAAATGTCAAACCAAGAAAAAATATTTGGTTGTCCCATTTTGATTCCTTAACATGGTTTATCATGAGTGATTTGCCTTTGGATTTGTGCCTTGGGTAATATGTTTTAAGCTATTTCCATGTTCAAAGGAAGGTGCTTGCTCTTTTTCTTAACATGTTGCTGCAGAAAATAGACATTCGAGCTTTTAGGTATCAATCACTAAAAATACTAAATGTAAGATGTACCTGTGCTAACTTATGTAGCCACAGTTCATGTAACCCTTTGTTTTTAGCTAATTTGATTATAGCTACTTGAACTTTGAGATATAAAAAGAAGCGCCTAATATGGACTCTAAAACCAGAGCAAAGTGAAAAGGCATAATTTAAAGGAAATTATTACTATACTTTAATAATCATAATTTCACATAATGTCTACCAGTGTGTAGTACAACTATTTGAATCGTTGCTTCTGACAGGTTTCTAATGCCCTGTGTGAAAAATGGAAATGGTTTCCAGAAGTGGAACATAGCATAGGTATAAAAATCTCGAACTCAAGTCACCCATCATAAGTATAAATAAATTATACCATATTTATCTTCAGCTAGTTAATTCTCTAGAGATTCCCTAGGTCAAAGCTTATGATCTCCTATTCTGAGATCCAAAAATAATTGAGACATTACAAGAACACAGAAATGAATCATCAAAGGATATAACTATAGCATGACATAGAGGAGGCCAGGTGTTGCAAATGTCGTTTTATCCTGCATGATTCACATTTTCATGACATAATTCTCAAGTCCTTGCTGTCTTATGCATGTACGAACATGGTAAGTCATTCCCCCACTTTGCCCATAGGAATCTACTAGGTGTTGCAAAATGCTCATCCTGTCTAAGGGACTATTTTCATTTAGTCTCTGCCTCGTTTGAGAATGTCCCACAGGCTTTACTTGTTAGTGATTCAACTTGGGACACCTTGGAATGGCAAACCAGTATGGCATTCATTCTACATTGTAAATAACGCTATCCTGAAATACAGCCTTGCTTGTGGATTTACACTGGCATTTATGACTGGTCTCCTGCTGTAACCAGAGACTCAAGTACTTGAATGTGGGGCTTGATGGCCTACAGAACCT